AGTGGGCTCAAAGAAAGTGTTCATGAACCAGAAAAAAGCCCTGGTCAACATATTCAACAATTACAGATCACCTGGAATCTGAGATGACTGGCAAGTTTGGAGATTTAGGCATGAAAAGGATCAGTTACAGGAGATGAATGCTTGAAAAAAACGTAGCCACCCATCAGTTCAGTTGTGTATCGCTATTACAGCAATGATGCACACGCACCTTCTCAATTTCTTCACTTTATTGGGTATTGTAATGTACTTGCCTGCAGAGGCAGGGATAGGGGACTACACTGAATTCCAGGCAGAGCAGTAATCCTATTGAACATAACAAGCCTTCCATTTAACACATTACATGGTTGATTGCTGTAGCTGAGCTCTTCCCTTTCCTAATTTATGGATTTGCTTGAATGCTGGTTGCTTCTCTTCTTCCCCTGAGAAATCATGCCGCCTTCAGCCAGCACCTTATTAACTTCCAGTTTTCTGCTGTATAAGATCTCATTTTGGGTATTTTATCTTCTTGATGACTTCCAGATGCTCCCACAACAGATCTGGCAACCTGGCAGAAACTGCAAGGTCACCTATAACTCCACAGGACCTGAAAAATGTAACCAGCTGTTTACACACACAGCGATATGTTTATACATAAAAAGTTAAAAAGACAACCCAGAAACGGTAAAATTCGGAGCTGTAATAAAGATTATTATGTACGTGCTTTGACCTATTAAAAAAATTACATGAAAGTCTTTTTCAGAGTTTTATATGTTAATTATTTCATATATTAAAAAGGCGATCCACCTAAAAGGGATATTGTAGTTTTGCGTGCAGCCTAGTAGGTTGAGTTAGCCCCCAGATTCTTATATGTCTTGGATACTCAATGGGCCCATTTAGGCCTTTGCCCTTATGCACACAAGTCATTTAGCTCCTGTGCATGGGACCCCAGTGTTTTGGAGCAAGCGAAAACAGGTGCACCATCCAGCCCTATTGCTGGCAGCCTGGACTCCATGAAAGGCCGAGATAGACGTGAGGTTAAAGAGGAACTATCGTCTTTTTAAAAAAACAAAAAACTTAAAATCAACAGCTTCAGATACTGTAAATACTGACGTTTTTTAGAAACTGATACTTATCAGCCCAGGAGTCCAGTGTTGTCATCACCTGGGCCAGTTCTTTGCCAGGCTTCTAACCCCTGGAGCCTCTATTTTGACTGTAGGGGTCGACTGTGACTTTCTGCTGTTTCACAGCTGGTTCCCCACTGTGCATGCGCAAGATCACGCTATGCTTTCAGACTGGTTCCCCAGCCTCCTGGGTCCTGTGCATGTTCCAGGAGGTTGTAGGTGAGGGGGGGAGAGGGGGAAACTTTCATAATTCTCACTTAGGTGAGAAATGCAGAAGTGGGAGCAGGTCCCTGTTAGAAAATTTTACCTGCTGGTAGTTGAAGGGGAGGAGGAGGATGAGCTGAACTTTCACTTTTAAGCGAAGTTCCACTTTAAATGACAGTGGTAGTGAAGTCAATATATGAAAATTCGCTGACAGGCAGGGTTTCTGTAACAGAAGAGACCCTAGAGGTCTCTTCTTTCATAAATGTCCCCCTTGCTTGTCAACGGGTAATATGATCGGAGTTGCAAATGGGCAGCTCAGAACCCATTTATGGCCCCTCTGCATGCTGCGGCAATGTGTCTCCCATGCGCATGCTTGGGAGAGACGTCACCTTGGCCCAGCAATTCCAAGTGGCCAAAGACAGGAAGCCCAGAAGGAAGAGAGGGCAAAGATGGAAATACCAGGGAGAGCCATGACAGCGCAGAGCTAGAGGGCTCTGTTTGTAGGTAAATCTGTCAGTATGCAGTGCATACTAGTACATTATGTCTTATGGTACCCATACTCTAGATAAAAAATCATTTGAAAATCTGTTATTTAGACAGTTTGTTCATTTTTCATTCAGTAAAGGGGCACAACTTGAAAATTAGTAGTGATGTTTTTGAGCTGAACAAACGAAGGAAAAGTTTGGGAGAATTTCTGCTGAATGGATGATAAAGTGAAAGGTTAATGTGTTTCTCACCCATCAAACATTGAACTGTTGGTACTGCGAATATGTGACCCAAAAGCAAAAAACGGACGAAAAAATTATTCATTTATGCCCTTTGAATGATTTATTGTATGAAAATTGGTCATTACATAATGGCAATATTGTTTGCTCTCATGACCATGTGTTCGTCTTTCGAAAATAATTTTTTGACTAGTGTATGGCTAGTGTGATAGACCCAACCAGGACAGAGACTTTTGGAGGGGACTAGGGGCTAGCCTTCTACCCACTGATTATGGCCCATGGAGAAGTCCAGGAATTTTGTCTGCTTCTCCCGGTTAAAGCACGGAAAAGAGTTCAGTTCAGCCTCTGATCACATGAGAAAGCCAGTCAGTCTGTGATGATGGATAATAACATGATGAACGCTGAGAGCAAGGCTTGGATTCATCCTCTGAAAAAAAGACAATAAAGCTTCCCTTCTAGAGTAGATGGAAAGATGTAATATTAATCTTCTACAGGTTAATAGTTAGAGATCATATGGGGCCCTCCTGCAGACTGGATTGGAAAAGCTCCTCCACATGGGACAAAAATTTTTATCAATAATCTCCTTCAAGAAATCTATGAAGATAAATGAATTCCACTTTTTCTTCTGATGACTTTTCTAGTGGACAGATTAAACAAGTGAAAGACAGCCTGTGTAATGTACTTTGTATGTCCAGGTGTGTGGGCTTGTTGCCGGGTTGTCTGGGGTGGGCTCCTGACTGGCCTGGGTGCCTAGTTGTTGATTAGCTTACTATTAATTAGATCACTGTTAGCTGCTAGATGTTAACTAGCTTATTATTATTATACAGGATTTATATAGCACCAACAGTTTGCTAAGCGCTTTACAATATAACGGGAGACAATACAGCAACAATACAGTTCAATACAAGAGGATTAGGAGGGTCCTGCTCCTTGGAGCTTACAATCTAAGAGGGAGGGGCTAGTGGTACAAAGGGTAATAACTGTGGGGATGGACTGGTAGGAGGAGTAGAAGATTCCATTATTAGCTAAAGGCAGGATAGGTTTCCCTAAAGAGAGAGGTTTTCAGAGATCGCCTAAAAGTGAGTATAGTCGGCGATAGTCTGATAAATTGGGGTAGAGAGTTCCAGAGGATGGGGGAGGCTCTGGAGAAGTCCTGGAGATGAACATGGGAGGAGGGGGCAAGGGAGCTAGAGAGTAAGAGGTCGTGTGAGGAGCGGAGAGTAAGGTTTAGGTGATATTTGGAGACAAGATTGGTGATGTAATTTGGGGCAGAATTATAAATGGCTTTATATGTTATTAATGTTTTGAACTTTATTCATTGGGCAATGGGAAGCCAGTGGAGGGATTGGTAGGGAGGGATGGCAGATATGGAACAGTTAGTAAGGTGGATGAGTCTGGCAGCAGCATTAAAAATAGACTGAAGAGAGGATAGCCTGCGATGAGGTCGGCCAATGAGGAGGGAGTTACAATAGTCAAGGCGAGAGATAACAAGGGAGTGAATAAGTAAGTTGCTGGTTTCAGAGGTTAAGAACGGCCGTATCTTGGAGATGTTGTGGAGGTGAAGTCTACAAGATTTGGACAGCGATTGGATTTGGGACTGAAAAGGGCAGATGGGAGTCCAGGATTACACCTAGTACCGTGGCGTGAGGGGAGGAACTGATGGTTGTATTATTGATCTTGATGGAGAAGTCAGGGGAGGGGACACGGGCTGGGGGGAATAGTATGAGCTCCGTTTTGGAAATATTGAGTTTGAGGAAGTGGAGTGACATCCATGCCGATGCATTGAGGAAGTGGAGTGACATCCATGCCGATATGTCACTTAGGTTAGTAATGCGAGAGGAGACTGAAGGGGTGAGGTGAGGAGTAGAAAGATAGATTTGTGTGTCATCAGCATAGAGATGGTACTTAAAGCCATGGGAGTTTATCAAGTGACCAAGGGAGGAGGTATAGATGGAGAAGAGAAGGGGTCCAAGGACAGAACCTTGTTGGACCCCTACCGAAAGAGGGAGTGGAGAGGAGGAGACCGAGTTATAGGTAACGCTGAAGGATTGGTGCGATAGGTAGGAGGAGAACCAGGAGAGAGCAGAGTCACGGAGGCCAAGAGAGTGGAGTTTTTTTGAGGAGGAGGGGATGGTCAACAGATTACTGTTTGATTAGATCACTGTTAGATGTTAGCTGTTCATTAGATGTACTAATGATATTACTGTTTACAGTTTGCATTGTTTAAGATAAAGTGGCAATCTCTTACCTAAATCTGTGTGTTATTTCTCTGCAAGTTGACAGTAAACAGAGTTCCTTATTGCACCTTAGCTAGTGTTGTTTACTTCTTGAGTGCAATACCCAGCTATAATACCTTGTTCCTGTGTTCCAGTGGCGAGGAAGCTATTCTCTGACAGAAGCACCCAGGCGGGGTGCTAGGTGGTCCGTCACAGCTAGCATTAGACCTGCCAGGGGACCTATCCCTTTTGTTTATCAGCAAGCGTTTACTGCCACTTTAACTCGCAAAAGAGGTGCTTGCAGGTACCACAGAAGAGAGAAATTAGGATACCAGGCCAAACAATAATGCAAAGACTAAATGTGACGGGCCACCTGTCACCCCAATTGGATGATTCCGTCAGTGAACTGCTTCCTTGCCGTTGAAACACAGGACCAAGGTATTATAACTGGCCATCGCACCCAAACTAAGAGACACTAGCTTAGGTGCCAAAACTGGAATTCTTTATTGAATAGAAATACAGGTTTTTATACACTTCAGCAATAGGGGCAGTCCCCACATGAACATGAAAAACAAATATTACACAGTGGGATAAACATCCCGTATTAATTAGGTAAGAGATTGATCACATTATCCTAAACAGTGCAAACGGTAAACAGTACAGCTAACAGTGATCTAATCAATAGCTAGCAACTAACATTTAACAGTAAGCTAATCAACAGCCAAGCACACATGCTGTCTTTCATGTGTTTGCTTTCACTTGTATAATCTGTCCATCATAAGACAAAATTAATACAATATTCCAACAGTCTGAAAAAGTGGAATTCAACTATCCTCAAAGATTTCCTGAGGGAGATTGTTGATAAATATTTTTGTCCCAAGTAGAGGAAGTTCTCCAACCCAGTCTGCAGGAGGACCCCAGATTTCCTCTGACCATTAACCTATATAAGATTAATATTACACCTTTCCATCCACTCTAGAAGGGAAGCTGTATTGTCTTTACTCAGAGAATTAATCCAAGTCTCCCTCTCAGCGTTTATTACGTTGTCCATCATTAGAGAATGATGTGCTCCCTCCATGGGCCCTAATCAGGTGGGTAGAAGGCTAGTCCCTAGTACCCTCAAAGTCCCTGCCCTGGTTGGGTCTGTCACATTTCTCTCACATGGTCGGCGGTCCACACAATCTCTATTCTTGCCCGTAGGGAAGAGTTGTCATCGGTAGGGTATGCACCCTCTATCCAACTGCCAGCACTTCAGCTGGGAGGTCTTTACCAGAGCTTGGTGTGGTGCTGGGGAGAGGGACCAACTGCCCCAACTCTCTGGAGCTGTGAAAACGGTAGGTGCTAGACAGAGGTCAGCAGCGGTCTGCCCTGTTGCCAGCACTTCAGCTGAGGACCCCACATTCTCTGCTCTTGCTAACTGTTGGGGAGGGAGTACAACCATCTCCTCTCCCAGTTTGTGGAACTGCAGCTGGGGAGATGAGCCGGTTGCTCCATCTCCCATACTGGGGAGGGAAAACCGTTTCCTCCACTCTGGCTGACTGTTGGGGAGGGAGACCAACCACCTCTTCCCCAGGACTGTGGAACTGCCGCTGGGGAGGGAGGACGATCACCTCCTCTCCCAGACTGTGAATCTGCCGCTGGGGAGGGAGGATGACCACCTCTTCTCCCTGGTCCTTGACCTGTCACTGTGGAGTGAGGACGACCACCTTCTCTCCCAGACTGTGGAACTGCTGCTGGGGAGATGAAATTCTGACTACTTCTCCCTGAGGTTCCCGTGTCACTGTATGTGTTGGGCAGAGGTAGTAGACCCTCTGTCCTGTTGCCAGCACTTCTGCTTGGACTGTGTATGGGCAGAATACAGCTGTACGCTGCCCCGCTGCCAGCACTTCAGCTTGGGTTAGGGGTTCAACTGAATCGGCCTACTGCTGGGGAGAAGTACCGGCTCCCTGGAGCTCTGGAAGTGCTGTGGTTGCTGGGCAGAGGTCAGTGGTTCTCTGCCCTGATGCCAGCTCTTCCGCTGGAAGTAAAATTAAAATTTGGTGGCCTCACACAAATCCTCCAGGGCCACCGATTGTTGTAGGCAGAGGTCAGCTTCTCTGTTGGAGACTCACTGGGTTGTTCCTCCTCAGCAGAAAAGTCTATTAAATCCCCAGTCTCTGGAAATGCTAAAAATCAGGCTGGCGGCACTTGAGCCCAGTGCCAGTGCTTCTGTCCCAAGTGGAGGAGGTTCTCCAACCCAGTCTGCAGGAGGGCCATATTTCTTCTGAACATTAACCTGTATAAGATTAATATTACACCTTTCCATTCACTCCAGAAGGGAAGCTTTATTGTCTGTACTCAGATAATTAATCCAAGTCTCGCTCTCAGTATGCACTACATTGTTGTCCATCATTAGAGAATGATGTGCTCTCTCCATGCCTACTAACTGAACAATAAAGCAGAATTAAACCTCCACCAATCCTTTTTTTTTTTATTGGGCCTCAGGAGCATTTAGCCATAATGTGATAGTATGCACAGCATATTAGCACATTATGGCAGGCTTACTTGGCAAGTGATACTGGAGCTGCCATATATTTCTGGTCTTCTTTTAGAGTTCTGATTCTTTGGCCGCTTGGTTGGCCAGGCCATGATGGCCTCACTCCTGTGCATGCCATAGGAGTCACATCGTTACAGCATAGAAGCGTGCCATAAATTAATGCTGAGCTGCGCATGCACATCTCAGAGTACACCAACAGGGTCTCTTCTGCTTAGCGGTGTTTTTTTTATTTTATTGAGGTTTAATTCCACTGTAATATGCAACTGCTTTAATAAATTTACATCTATAGGTTGTGGTGTACTATAGCAAGGGTAGGTTTCTAGCCGTCCCCGTATAATTCTACAAAGTATAGAAAATAAAAACAACACAAAGTGTAGATCCAGGGAAACACCTGCCTGTAATAGACCCCAGGACCCCAAATGCCCCTGTGCACCTGAACAGCTAATATGTCCACCACTGATCCCACACGTGGTGATTCTGATAATGTACATACAACATTCCTATTCATTAAAGATAACCAGCGTGCGTCAGTTTTTTAAACAATCTTTCTTTTCAAATGTCCTCAATATTATATGTTATGTTATTCCCACTTCTAGAGGTCTACGTTGAATTTCTTTTCACAGTTTTCAACTCAGTGTAATCTTCTGTAATTCCTGCAGAAATCCCGCTGGTATAACTTTCATTCTTGCTGATTGGAGATTTACCCTGCAGAAGAAGTAGGGATAAAAGAAGTGTGAATGACCTTTACAGCGATTGATTGCTGGCAGAGGACTAAAGACACACTGTTTACATCCCAGCACAAGATGATCACGGCTATAGACAGGTAACATAGTAAGAAATAAAGTCAGCAAGTGATCAAATCTATAAGTAGTTAATGTATAGTGTGAGAGTAGTGAGCAAAACTGAGTTTTCAGCTCCCTGATATTTAGGTGAAAATTGGAAACGTTTGGAGAAATTTTTTTGCAGTCAGTGGAAAGGCTTCTTCATGGAAAAATCTATCCTTGCAGTAATCCACCCTCTGTACTGCAAGGGTTAAATGCTCATTAAAGCAGAGTTCCAGCTGAAAAAAAAAGTCAGCAGCTACAAAAACTGCTACAAAATACAGCCACTCACCTGTCCCTCGATTCAGCGGTGTCCTCACCATTTGCTGGTTTCATCGGCCGTCCTCTCTCCCCAGTGCCGGCATCTTTAGTGTGGGCACCTGGCTGTGACAGCTTGCAGCTTCACAGCCGGGTGCCCACTGTGCATGTGCGAGAAGCGCTGTGTTTTCTGAATGGCCCTGTAGTCTTCTGGGACCTGTCACATGTCCCAGAAGACTATGGGGAGGGAGGGGGAGGGACAACTTCCGCTTCTGATCACCTAGGCCAGGGGTAGGCAACCTGCGGCTCTCCAGTTGTTGCAAGACTTCATGTTCCATCATGCCTCTGCAAGTCATAGCTGTAACTGTCAGTTTTGTAATGTTGCAATGTCTCATGCGAAATGTAGTTCCACAACAGCTAGAGAGCCACAGGTTGCCTACACCTGACCTAGGCCATCTCAGCGGAAGTGGAAGCAGGTACCTGTCAAATTCAGGTACCTGCTCCCTGCCCACTCCCCAAAGGTGCCAATCATTAATGGGGAGTGGGGGACAAAGCATTAAAGCAGAAGTTTCCCCTTTTGGGTGGAGCTCCGCTTTAAGTCTAGGGGTAAATGTAATACCTTTTTCCTTTCTTTCCACTCTGGCTTGTGGGCAGGCCCTTTCCATTCTCAAATACAATGAAGGACTATTGGCCTGCATTGTACTTGATGTCAGTGTGCAGAACTGACACCTTATTTTGACTTTTTTTAATCTTTATTCTGCTGGCAATAGTAAATAGACGGTATATCATATTTACTTGTTTTAAACTTATTTTTTTTTACATTTCTTCAGTTACTTCCTGGTTTCCAGACTTAGGCAAAGGATGTCATACATCCCGGAGTCTTCAGGAGGGGAGGAGGGATTTTCTCAGCCAATCACACCCTCCTGCCTCAGCCTGCATGCCTCAGCTGATGGCAGATGGACTTCAGGAAGTAAATGTTACATGAATCATTTGCCCTTCCTCAAGATAGCCACGGCCAGAAATGATAGGGGGTGTTTTTCAATGCAATTTGTGAGTAAAATAAAGCCTTGTAGACATGGATGGATGAAATTTTGCTTTGAATAATAAAAATGAATCAAATAGTGTTTTTGGTTTGTGGTGCTCGGATGCAGCAAAGTTCTGCTTTAAAAAGCAAGATAACAAATATAAAGGGACAGTACAAATAATCAAATGCATAACAAAAGGGAAAAAAAAGAACTCCAAATGAAATAAACAAAATAAATAAATTAGCTAAGCAAATGTGTGAGCAGATGTAACAGTTTAAATTTACTAAAGGCAAACAGACCATGTACTTTGCTAATGCAGTTTTCCCCAGAGCATAGTAAATTTTCCCCACAGCAAGGAGAGCCCCATGATTGAAGGAGAGACAGTTATGTGACTTTGACAAGTTTCTCTTCGTTTTCATTGTGCTTCACCACCTTCAGAGTCTTAAAGTGTTAATAAACCCCAGACCCTGCATTTACTATATCTGGTCTCCCACAGTACACACAACATGGAAATGCAATTATTTTAGTAAATAAAAACTGGTAAATACCTTTTTTCAGCAGTCGGATCAGTGTTGTGACTTCAGCAGAGCACTGGTTAAAGCTTGTAGGAGGAATTTTCTTTCTGCTCTAGGAGGATGCAAAACACCTGACCTCCGTCTGGACAGTACTGATTGGCCCTGTGCTAATCACATGCGCTCTCCCAAGAAATGCAAACCTCTCTAGCAGTACACACTAAACTGAGCATGTGCAGAAGGGCTACAGGTTAATTCTGTCTTATCATCGTGGACATTTGAACAAGAGGAGAATCAGAGAAGACCGGATCAAACAGCCTTTTTACACAATGCAGAGGATTAACACCTTAGGTTCCACAGTGAGTATAACAAGCATGTTTTACTGCATATACAGACTGATTTTCATGTTGTGGGTTTAGTAACACTTTAAAGCAAGTATGTAAGCGGGTCAAGTTAGCTAGTCTGTCACTAGGTGGCTCTGTCCCAGAATAGTGTGAATCAGGTGCTATGTCCCTTTTAGCTAGAGCCCTTCTGGAGTTATGTCATGAGTGAGTCAGTGCCCATTTATAAGCCAGGTTGGGGCGTAGGAGCCAGAGACCCCACCTGAATGCAGATGTAGTCAGCTAAGTGAAGGCCCTGGACAGGGCTGGAGGACAGGGTGAGGTAGTCCTGCACCCAGAAGAGCTGGCTGTGGTCATCCTGTCTTTTATGGTGGTGGAGGCTAGAGCAGGTTGCAAAAGGCCTTTTAGTCCAGAGCAAGTGTTCCCTGATGTGAGGCTATCCCCTGGAGGACCCTTGGGAATTGTATCCAAGCGAGAAGGGAACTGCAGTGATCCTGTCTCTGGACACTACATGTAAAGAGTTGTGAGCTGGACGCAGACTTCATGAGGCAAACCAGAGCCCTCTGAGTGAGTACTAATGACCCCATGAAGGAGAGAGACTGAGTTAGAGAAGATGGCTTACTAGAAATGTGTTGTGCGCTGCTTTCACAAGTGACTGCTGCGCACTGTCCATTATAAGTGTTTGTCAAAATGCTGTCAATTGACCCCGGATAGTATGTCTATGAGATGTGACTGTAAATGCCATCTGAAAGTAATATCAGTAAAGTGCAGCAATTCAGTCTTTTTGTGTAGACATTCCTTCCTTGGGATATAAAGGTTAATGGGTGGGAATGTTGTGGGAAGGCCTCTGTCATGGAGATGGGCACAATATTGCGGAGGGTTAAGGCTTCAAGCAGGAGGGTTGTTGTTCTTGTAGGAAGAAGCGAGTCAAAGACTTGTACTCTTGGCACCAATACACAGCCATTCTCAAGCCCCCTTGCAAGCAGAGCACAATGCACACTGTAAAACTGCTTAATAAATGTCCCCCAAAATCAATCGTCTGTGCTGTTGAACCTCTAGTGTTGATCAGAAAATGCATAAGGGTCAATTTTTCTCCTAGATGTGCTTATGGGTGCCCTGGATCTTGATGGACCCTAGCCAACCCTCTGCCTTTAACCCTGCTCCAGTACACCCTCCACCCTTATACTCCCTTTCTCCTTCTGCTTTTAAACCATTCTACTCGAAAGAAAATCTCTCATCATTTCTTTTCCTTTCTCTTTCTCCTTTTCTAAGCTGCTTAAATTCCCAATACATCCCTTCTACATTCTCAAACATCATTTAACGGCATAAATACATCCTTCATACAAATGACAGCGTTCTGAAACACAAACCAAAACTCCAGACAGCTTTCAAACGGATATTGATTACAAATAACATACCAACTGTTCTCTGTAATCTCTTCTTAAGAATAAATTGTTAAAATATGGAAGATGTTGTAACAACAAAATGTTACCTAAGTAGCCCACTCGTGTACCTGTTTTTGGTCTCTATACCAGAATCCATGTCACAATAAGTACCTTATATACTGTTTGCTTAATCTGTCATATCTTCCTTTTGTATCTCTACTTGTTACTGTTTATTTGTCTTGTTACATTTTTAATAAATACCATATTCTGCAAAAAAAAAAAAAGTTCCCAATGGTGACAATGGGCTCCATTCACAAAGCTGTATCTTATCGCATCCGAGTATGTAGTAAGATATCCCACACTGTTTTTTTCAAAAATGTTTTTGAAATCCATTAAATGCTACTAAAAAACACTGCATGAGTTATTTTATGAAGCCATGTGGTATTTTAGTAGTGAAAACATGAGGTAATGCTGGTAGCAGCCGGCGTAGTTATTTACAGTAGTAAATACTGTGTTGTTAAGGTGCTGGCGGCTGAAG